CGCTACTCTTTAGATACCAATAATTCGGTTAACGTCCCGACGACTCAATATAACATCGTTTTTGCCTTGTCACTCTCTCTCGTCTTGCCGCGCCACGCTCTATAAGCTTGGCGCGTTACCTCTCACTCGCACAACGTCACAAAGCGTACCCAAGTGACGCCAGTCTTTGTTAGGCTTCCACAACGTATCTTACGTGTTCAAGTGTTTTTGCTCATAATCCTGTACTCTAACCATTCGAAATGGCTTCCAAGTGCCCATGAAGTGCTACTGATGCTAGTGTTGTGAAGAAGCAATGTAAGACCATTAGCCTTGCTACGAAAATGGAGGTTTTAACCCGTTTTGGAAAAGGGGAATGTAAGGTGGACATTGCTGGACTAACCCCCACAACAGCGCGTGCTGGCCGGACCAATACGGACAAGATTAAGGCTAGTGCTGGAAGTGGTAGTTCTCCGAGTGCAACAAAGACAAGTCGTACTCTAAGTTCCGTAATGGAAAAGATGGAAAAGATGCTGGCTGTGTGGATGGAGGACCAGAATCAATGCAATGCCCTTGTGAGCCTTATGGTTATCCAGCACAAAGCAAAGTCCTTGTTTGACGACTTAAAGGCAGAAGAGGGTGAAGGATCAACGGAAGAGAACTTTACGGCCAGCCAAGGATGGTTTGCACCATTATAACTTCCATAATATTAAGATGACTGGTGAAGCTGCCAGTTCAGATACTGTTGCTGTCGATATATTCATGCCTGAATTAAAAAAAACATTATCGAGGAAGGTGGCTACTCATCGAAGTAAGTCTTTAATGTGGATGAGACTGGTCTCTTTTGGAAGAGGATGCCTGAGAGGATCTATGTCTAAAAGGAGGAGAAAAGAGCACCAGGTTTTAAAGCGGCAAAAGACCACTTGATGCTGCTGTTTGGCGCGAACGCTGCCGGTGACCTCAAGCTGAATCCTATGCTAATTTCTCATGCTGCCAACCCATGGGCCCCGAAAAGTTACTTTAAGGATCACATTCCTGTCATTTACAAGGCAAATAAGAAGGCATGGATAACCAGCGCCATTTTTAGCCAGTGGTTAACCGTGTACGTCATCCCTGCAATGAAGGAATAGTGTGCCAAGAAGAACCTTGACTTCAAAATTCTTCTAGTCGTTGACAATGTTTCAGCTCATCCTTCCAATATCGACGACTTACATGACAGTGTTCTTGTTGTCTTCCTGCCTCCCAAAACGACAGCACTGATGCAGCCTATGGACCTAGGCGTCATCGCATTCAAGGCGTATTATTTATGGCGTACCATGGATCAACTGCTGAAGGCTACTGACAGAAAATAAACCTATGATCCAAGAATATTGGCGGGGCTTCAACATTCTTCATGCAATTGACAACATGGGCAAGGCATGGGAAGAATTTTAAGAAATAGGGATATCCTCAGCTTGGCTAGCGGGGCAGGCTTTCATGAGCTGGAATCGAAGGATATTGAGGACGTCCTGGCATCCCATACAGAAGAGCTCATCAATGAGGATTTGCAACAACTAACAGAACACAGTCCCGTTGAAGACGAAAACGACGAAGAAATAACACAATGAACGCTACTACCAAGAGGATGGCAGAAGCGTTCAACATGATTCAGCAAGGTAAGCAAATCTTCATTGATGACAACCCCAAACAGAGAACATAGCTCAAAGATTCAGCGCAACATTGATGACAGTCCTGCTTGTTACTGAGATCTACAAGAAAAAGAAGAGGAGGAGCATTAAGCAGTCAACGCTGGATTCTTTTTTCCGTCGCCAGAAGACAGTAGCAGCAGCATCGTCTTCACAACAGCCTGCAAGTGAGGAGGAGCAAACAGCAGCCGAGGAACCCCAGTCAGAGCAGGAGGTGGTGGCAACCGCCGGGTCTCAGTGACTCACCACCCTCCTCTGCTCCCCCCTTCTTCTTCCTCCGCTCCCTCCCTCCCTCCTCTTCCTCCGCTCCCGAAAAGGCTTAAATAATACATAAAAATCTAAAATTGGTGTCTCTTTCTTATCAGCACCACAAAACTCTTACTTTCAAGCTTGCCAGCCATTTTAAAGTGAATTACAAACGAAAATTTTGTCAGTACCTTGTACACAGCGCAATCACTAGTGTCGGGACTCGAAAATATGTAATTTGACAATATTTTGGAACGACTGAAGCGGTCGTATGTCCGGGTGGTCATAAGTCGAGGAGTAGCTGTATATATATATTGTTATTAAAGTTAATTACAGTAATCATTCTTCTTTCCTTAAAATCTTACTGTATTTATATATTTATTCCTTTATCACTTAACCCAGATCTAATTTCCATGCAAATTAAGTACATTATACCTATTGAACGCAGGTAAACGAGATAAGAAGTGTTACCTGTTGTCACTAGTATGATGCAACACAGGTAAACCAAATAGAATTCCTGGGGCTGTATTATGGAAGGGGAACATCACAGTTGAATACATCTGTTATGAGAGAAGAACCTGTTTTGTAATTGATTCTGGCAGCCTTTAACTATGATAGGAGAAATCTTGGAGGGGAGGGAGGGAGGAGGCTTGTTGTGGAAAGAGACTATTTGAGAATAGTGTTGTAAGAGAAAACAAGCACGTTATTATATATCGAAAGAGAAGGTTCTGTATATTAGAAAATATTGAAATGCTCTATGTCCAATTACCTTAACCCCTTTACTATGGGGATACCACTTTTGATATTTTATTTGGCTAATCCCCATACGATTTTATTCAGCTCTGTGGTGACCCCATACACAAGGGATTAATGACCAAATAATTACCGCAAAAGGGCCAGTATAGTAGCAGAGTTAACTATTCACTAATACGTGTATCTCGTCAAACACATTACCACAGCTCGTGCAAGTTTTTTATTACAACTTCCCATACACCTTTCACCACAGCTGTTAAGTATATAGTGATGATCATAATAGAAGTAGACTGAGGTTTTATTCTCAAGTTGACACCATTTTCAAATGATTTCTGTAAAAAAAAAAACACTTATAAATATCCTGTGTTTGTGTTCTAATATTCAACTGATACAGATACTTGCGTGTGTGTGTGACTATGACAGTGTGAGAGTGTGTGTGTGTGTGTGACTATGACAGTGTGTGTGTGTGTGACTATGACAGAACTAACTAAAGGTGGCAGGTGAATGTTTGAATACCCATACAAGTGAGAAACCAACTGCATCACTGTATAACCCAACACTTGCATAAATGTCGATAAAATATTTACCTTGATTTATTATAGTACAGTACAGTAATTTGGATCATAACTAGTATAGGTTTTTCACAACACTACTCCTCTTGCACCAAGGTATAAGGCCTAATAGAGATGAAAGAGTCTGAATTTATTATTAATGTTTAGTATCAACAGTTAAGTAAGATGTGGAGGGTAGGGCACATCGATCAGTAACCTTTTTGTGTTGAGATGGGCAGTAGTTTATTGGGGTGTGTGCAGGAGGTTATAGGTGGGTGAGCAGTAGTTTATTGGGGTGTGTGTAGGAGGTTATAGGTGGGTGAGCAGTGGTTTATTGGGGTGTGTGTAGGAGGTGATAGGTGGGTGAGCAGTGGTTTATTGGGGTGTGTAGGAGGTGATAGGTGGGTGAGCAGTGGTTTATTGGGGAGTGTGTAGGAGGTGATAGGTGGGTGAGCAGTGGTTTATTGGGGTGTGTGTAGGAGGTTATAGGTGGGTGAGCAGTGGTTTATTGGGGAGTGTGTAGGAGGTGATAGGTGGGTGAGCAGTGGTTTATTGGGGTGTGTGTAGGAGGTGATATAAGGCAGAGAATAACCATAAGTGTGTAATATGGTGACCTGGATACACTGGTGGTCAAGGCCTCAGGGAGTGAAGCAACAGAGGCAGACAAGTTAAGAATTAATGATGCGTTTATGGTCTGTTAAAACACGCCAGCAAGTACTTGAGAATACATCTAGTCGTTCATTTTCTTGAGACAAACTTTATATACACGGGAGAGATAAAACTCTTCTTGGGCCTAAAGTTAAAATTACTGGTAGATAACCAAGGTCAGTAATGGTGACCTACTTTTGACACGGTGTTCTAATATTCATAAAAAATTCCTGTACAAGTGATGTTTCAGGACTGTGTGATCAGGAACGTCATATCATGTGAACAGGTGGACGGACGGACGGAGGGACAAAGTTATTTCAATTTCATAGTTGTAGTAGGGAACAAAGATGTACATTATATTTTGAACTTTCATAGACACTTAGCTGTCAGTCATAACTAATCATCAAAGGATTCTTGTCTTATATTCAAAGGACCAACTACAAAATATTTTACATTATAAAAATTAAGACAGTTAACCCCGAGGCTTCGGATCACTTCATGTGACGTGAGTCTGTAGAGCTTTGGGTCACGTCATATGATGTTACGATCTTTCCCGGACCTATTTGAATAAAAAGGGCGGTCCTGGCTAGATATGTTCCAAGTATGTATTTATCTTTCACTTACTCACACATGAGAGCCTCTCAGCTTTTGTGATGTAGGAATGTTGCCCTTGTACTCGACTCAGTTCATGTGTTTCTGACCCCCAAAACATGAGTCTAGTATTGTGATCACTAACTGGAGTAGTAGTAATGATTGTTAACTGTGTAAATAGTAATAACATAGTAGTACTTGCCAACAGACATGACTGACTGCCCAAGCAGCTGACGAGCTAATCAGTGGTGAAGAGGATAAAAGAAAAAGTAAACAAGTGTCCTGTACCTCATACTACCTACAAATTAGTGATGTTTACCTCGTTACTACTGCGTCACCCACACGCCACTTCACCAACATTCTCGACTATTCCTAGGGGCCAACCTGTGGTAAGGACATGTAGGGGGGTATACCAACCATAGCCTGAAGCCCAGAGGTTAAATTCTTTCAATCATCTCCTCAGAGTAGCAAGGCCTCCCCACAAGGTCTGGCCGACCGCTTCAATCAACCGAGTGACACAAATTAAAACAAAGGTTAACAATTACTACAGTTTAATTCTTAGTGCTTTTTTTATTCAGTAATGAGGACTTTTACTTTCTAGTAATATAAAAATAATGAGGATTTGTTTGTTTATTTGCATAGGTACCATAAACAAACTTAGGGCCACTTGTCAAACACCTACAAGTGAATGTATACTTAGTCAAGCAGGTCCATTTCTTTACACAGGTACAGTACAACAGCCATATCTCATCAACCCCACAAACCTAAAACCTAATTAATTTAAAGGACCATCATCTGATAGCATTATAATATCTTATCACTTTTGACAAAAAATAATGCAAACCTCTAAAACAACGGAACTTGAAATAATTGTCCTATATAATCCTCCATCAATGTACAGTACTGTATACATTTGTCACTATAAAACCCCTCTTGTTGAATCAAAGCTACACACACACACGTGCACACACACACGTTCATTTACATAACAATGGTACAGTAGCTAAAACAACTATCTGTGCATACTTTGTGGAAAACAATATGAGACCATGGACGATAAATATGGGTATATGAGGGCTGTCACTAGTCACACGTAAAATTTCGGAGCATTTCGACCCCCACCTGCACAGATAGTTGTTTTAGCTGCTGTACCTATTCCTTTTCTAACTCAGTTCACTTTTACCTATGATCACATATATGCAAGTTACTTTCTCCAGCAGAAGAAGAAGAGAAAGATGTAGAATAAGAAGATGAATAAGAAGAAAAGTGTTTCCAAACAAAACCTTTGGCTCTTCTTTCTTCCTCCTAGAGAGAGAGAGAGAGAGAGAGAGAGAGAGAGAGAGAAACCTGAGTCACCACACTACACTTGTCCTCTGCTCTACCAACTAACTTTACCTTATACCCACATTACCCTGAACACCCTTACCACTATATTATGGGAGTCCTTATACTGTATTCTTCACTCTCAATCTGTTCTGCCACCAAGAGCACACACTGGGCATAATCTAACATTTCCTGGTGTGTCTTAAGCATAATAACTCGGTCTTTCCTGAATGAATGTTTGGAGATGGTGTGTCTTTTCATGTGTTTATGCTAGCCTAACAGGTGCAGTGGATGAGTCAATACAGAACACGTCAACTGATGAAACTGTTCAAGACCTGTGACTAGTTTCTAAATGGGACATCCTCATATGAAGCAGTTGCAGTGTGGGTTCCTTAATTCTCCACCTGGGGAAGTGTAAGGTGGTAGAGAGCACTGCCGGGCACAATGCCGTATTGTGCATCAAAGGCTAAATCGTCAGTGTGCAATATCCACACCGCCCCTAGTCCGCCAAAGAACCAGACAAACAGATATACAGTAAACCTGGATAACACACAGGTACAGTATTGCTCTCTTAAGCTTTACCAGACACTGACTCCCTCAACACACCTCAGTATCAGCGGGTGAAAAAAACATTAGTTCATAAGATGTCATGTACTGTATTCAAATGTTGATATTATTCTCTGTGAATGGTTTCTTCTCTGCCCTGGTCAACACTCCCATCATCCTTCTCGTTAGTCTTTTAATGGTGCTTACTGTATAGTGCACAACAGGTAAGTGAGAGAGAACAGGTAAGTGAGAGAGAACAACAGATAAATGAGAGAAAGACAAAAAACATGACAGATAAAGAAGAATTCAGCCAAGAGGTCAATAAAGTACGTACAAAAAAAAAAGTAAAATAAAATACACCGGGTTTCAGAACATAATTACCAAATTTTATACCTTTGTACATGGATCAAAAAACATACATAAAACACTTTAAAAACCTTAACATACAAACAAAACCATGTACAGGCAACTACCACAGCCTCTCCCATGAACCATAAGCTCATGAGATTCAGACTCGTGAATCCGAAACATTTATGGGATAGAATAATGTACTATCAGTCGACTGCTTTGTTTGGTTTCGCGAGTTCTGAATCTTGAGTTTAGTGGTTCGAGAGGAGGGAGGGGGAGAGGCGAACATGGAACTTTAGTAGTTGACTGTACATGTACTCTGGTTAGGCGCAATATCTGGAATACTTTATTCTGAGATGATACTTTAAAATTTGGTCAAAAAGTGTCATGACTCACCCCACCACCAACCACCCTGCCTACACCATCACATACAGACAGGAAGGATTATAATCATCATTGCTAATCATTACTAAAATACTGTACTGCATAGGAGGACACTTTCATAATATATACACAATGCTCCTTGTTTTACCTGCAAAAAAAACTCTCTTCCGCACCCCTAAATCACTGCACCCCCGGCCTGCTCACACTAAGGGCTACACACTGTAAACCTGGCCTGCTCACACTAAGGGCTACACACTGCACTCCTGGCCAGCTCACACTGCACTCCTGGCCAGCTCACACTGCACCCCTGGCCAGCTCACACTAAGGGCTAAACACTACACCCCCGGCCAGCTCACACTAAGGGCTACACAGTGTAACCCCGCCCTGCTCACTTATACCAAAGGAGTCCCATTGCGCCTGCAGCTTGTTCTCATCAACCACTGGTCACTAATGCAACAGATAACTCTTTCTTGGTGACTTATAACATTGGTGAGAAAAACAATCACCTTATTCCCTTACTTGGAAAACTTTTATAATCTGTCTGGATCTAGATAATCAAACTGACAATTACGGCAAAGATAGATTCTGTGAATGAATCAGTCAAAGGCTAAAGCTAATAAATGCAAAGGCTTATTGAAGATGGTAAGCTGCCCATTTAAAATAATGTATCAACAGTGTGTCCCTAATGTACAGTTCACAAATAAACTAATTTTTAACATAAAGGACATCATCTGACTGGGCACTACAGTACACAAACTAAATCGAACGTTATGATATCTCCTTTACCATCTAATTAATGTCAAAGTATATAAAAATAAACAGTACATTTACAGTAACTCAACCAAACCTTTAAAAAGTTATTACTTACATAGTTTCTTTACAAATATCAAAGTTTGAATAATAGAGTAAGTTAAATCCTTCACTACGGAGACGCTACTTCTAATATTGTATGTGGTTGACGCCGGACAATTTTATTCGGCTCGGAGGTGAACCCGTACGTAAGGGGTAAGTGATCTCCTCTGGGTGATCTCCAACAGTCCATTAGAAAACAAAAGAAACAAGTGAAAATAAACAACACTCTTAATGTGAGTTTACCTTCACAGGAAACTTGAATGTAAGCTGTAATATCAAAAAGAACAAACCTTAACTCTTCTAAAAAAAATAATAATAATCCATACCTATGCACCGTCTTTTCCAGGGATCCACATTAACACAATCAATAGGATTCTTTTGAAGACCTAGCGAAAAAAAGACCAGTGGTAGAGACCATTATAGTCGTGCAAGGATAAAAGACGTACGGTACGGTATAATGGTACAGATACCCGAGGAACCTGTTGTTTTCTTTAATGTCGGTTCCGCGTTAGGAATTCTACACTCGCCAACACTCACGGTTACCCAAGGCTTGTGAATGAAAGCTAAAGTATACTGGCTCCTTGTATCTGGGCTGGACTGGACTTGTTTGACCATTGTAGTGATATATGTGTATAATGTATATCCTTGTGTGTATGTGTGTCACTGTAATATATGAGTATCCTTGTAGGTATATCAGTTGGGTTACATATAAAGGCCTCCTGAATTGTTTTAAGAAGACCGCCATTACCAAGCCTAAAAAATTTTTGATCTAAAGGCCATGCACAGGTCAACGTCTGCTCAAATGTAGTCCACCTTCCTGAGAGTAAACCTAAAAGAATATTATCACCATCTTATCAAAACTGAATAGTAAAAAAGAAATTTGAGTCAGGTTTCAGAGATTCACTGCTACAGACAACCCAATCTCCCCAACCAAGAGGATGATACTAGATACAGTTCTGTCATAAATTACATTACCTCACATGAAAACATTTATCAAACTTCAATACAGAGAAGAGAATTATATATCACTTCCCTCTGTAGAGATTCTCACACAGGTATAGATGGTCATGCTAGTTCAGGTGTTTTATTATCTAAGAGGAACAAGGTTGCATTATATGGTATACAGCTACCACAGCCAACACAATATACCGAGTCCATGTCTTAACCTCACTGAAGAAATATCCTTTAATTTGCATGGAATATTTAGATCATAAACTAAAAAAATATGTACGTCTTTACTTTGCGATCGACATAATATAGACACGTTTAAAAAGAGAAAGTATTAGAATTATCGCATTTTTTCACTTTAAGAAATATTGTCACACACTTTGACGGTATTCAGGAAAAATATGGTTTACTCCTCGCCAAAATCACTGACTTCCTTTACTGTAAGAGAAAGACTCAAAGGTTGAGTAACAAAAAGATGTATTTAGTAATAATATCCTGATGACTCTTGACCTCCCGCCTTAACTCCTACAGTCACTTTGTGGAGGAAAATCAACTAAAAGTAAAAGAAAGAAAGAATTACATTTCAAAATGCAAAAAGCTTAATCTCTAAATCAAACTGACTCATTATGAGATTGTTTAAAGTGCGGTCTACAGGTGAGTGTGTGTCTCAGAGTGAGACCAACGCGGTGCACTGTAATATCACCAAACTTTAAATAAGTTAATGATGTAAAAATGAATACAATGTACTTACAATGCATATGATGAATGGCAAAATGTTATGCCTCTGCTCAATTCCTTTGAAAATGCTATGTACAATGTGAGTTCTTACACCCATGTAGTAGGTAAGATGATTTTTTTTGTATTGTACTTGGTTAATCTCATCATGATACATGAAGGACTTCACATGGCACCAAGGGCAGCTTCAACCCTAGAATGGGAGATCTTTTGACACATACAGTAAATTGGTTCCCATCCGTTTCACAAACAAAAACTGACTCGAATAAGTCAAGATGTGTCAAAAATCATGACTGCCTTAAGGCGTGTTCTCACTCTCCACTAATGTCAACAAGGATATGCTGAATTCATTATACTTCTCAAGGACGACCTTCACATCCTCAGAACCTTTGAGCAGCATCAGCAGTTTTTTGTCATCACAGGCATCCACACGCAGTAACATCTGAAATGATAGAAATATTAAAATTACAAAAAGTGGTTTATTAATTCAATTTTTTACCACTGACATGGATGTCATCATCGGTGGACATTAGCTGTAGGGACAGCGGCCATTATATGTGAAAATTATCTGTAAGAATGGCAGCAATCATCAGTAAGATCGGCGGCTATCATATTTGAAAGTTAGCTGTGGGGATGGCGGCCATCATCAGTGAAAGTTTCATGTTCCTTGTGTTCCATTGTTGGGGCAGCAGTAGGGACCATAGTCCTTACTGCTTACTAATCATAGTAGGTTAAAGACAAAAGTTATCAAATATTTTATTTAAAATCAGAATTAGTAAAGAGTTTCATATGAGCCCAGTCAATACATCCAGCTTAGCTGTAGAAAATCTAAATGTACAGGAGTTCAACAACCCTCAGAAAATAAGCTGGAGGTTGGAGGAAAAATGAAGGGTGATAGTTATTTGATAAAGTCAACATAACTCATGGTCAAGCAAAGGGACAAAAGCACCTACCCTTAGTAATAGAATTCTTGATGACATTATGATTAATGTCATTTTATCAGGGAAGTGTCTCAAGTGTCAAACTCACTGGTGACCAACTTCTGCTGTGTCAGAGAGGTCACACATTACTCCCTAAGTTATACAGTGCACAAGGTGTGAAGAATTAATCTGAGCACAGTTGTATAGAACATCTAACAGCTTTTCTTGATGGGTAAGACATAAAACTGAACACTGGACAACATGAAACTTTTCTTTGAGGACGTCCAAAGTCTTACCTTCAGCACATGGATATTGTGACGTTGATGCCAAGATTGCCGTTATCTGCAAACAGCTGGGCAATGGAGGTGTCAAACACGAGACAGTCAGAGTTCATGATAGCTGATTGGACGCCCTCATGTATTGAACGTGGAGTGGCTTCCCATGTCAATCTTCGCCGAGGACCATTCAACTCCAATCTGAAAATGAAGAACGGTAAATTAAAGCAAAATCTTCTATTTATATACAGGTAATCTTAAAAAAGCATTACAGTGCGTGTCAAAGATTGGACTCTACAGCCATGGTAAGTCTCACTGATAAACCAGAAAAGGAAGCCATCATCGGACTCCATGGACTACCATAAGCCTAAGTATATCTGTGTGTGTGTGTGTAATGGTCAGCATTCTCGCCTCGCAAGCGAGCGGACCCGAGTTCAATCCCCGGGCAGGATGAAACTATGGGCAAGTTTCTATACGCCATTTGCCTCTGTCTATCCAGCAGTAATTGGGAACCTGGATGTTAATCGATTTGCGGATCGTGTTCCGGGGTAATGGTCAGCCAGTGCAGTTGGCGAGTTGTCCTGTTTTCTCGGACTATTCCTTGACACAGGGTCATGCAACTCATTAACTTAGGGTGTGGTTGCTGTGATGGCCACAGCTTCTAAACCTTAAACAAATTCACGCTTAGGTGGTCCTATGGCCGGCCATCCTCATTACATGAGGGGCAACAATTATATTATTATTATTACATATTGAACATAATAATATAACAACTTACCTATATGCAAAGTTTTCAGCTTGTTTTCTTGAGCCTATGAGTTGTACAATAGCAAAAAACTGTTGGTGGCCGTCATATTTTTCCTGCTTCTCTAACACCAGCATAAAATGGTGTCCAAAGCAGCTCTGCATCATGACCCAGTCTACTGCCCCAGGTAAGTTGATGTCCGTTGCCAGGAACACTATGTCCTCACCTGCAACACACACACAATAACAGGAGCTGACACACCACAGGAAGGCGTCGGAGGTCCGAGTAATGACACCAAAATTAGACTGTTCGGCCAGCACACACATCACACATTATCATTGACTGTGCTTTACCCTATATTATTTTTCTCTCTCTCATTCTTATAAGTTTCTTTATATTTCTTAGCTGGAAATATTTTGATATAAGAAGCTGTTAAGTGAGACATATTCTATTAATATCCTCATTTTCCCTCTACACCTCTGCTTCATTTAACAGCACACACTGTAACACACTCCCTCCTCCCCCCACTTTCATACTTTTATTCTGTTAATGAATAATATCCAACTAACACACAGCTATTACAAAAGAACACAAACAAACTAACAAAAACATAATAAATCGTACAGAAAATTGATCAAGTCATGTTGGTGTTCTCGAGCCTACTACCCCCCCCCCCCAACCCCTTACTTCCCATCGAATCAGAGGTTTCTACAGCGTCATAGGAGCACTGACTGTATGACACTGGCTTCCATGCACACATTAGGGGAAGTCCACTGAGCACTGAGTCTGTAGTACATGAGGTGGCAGCAGTCTTATATAGCTCTCATTTCCTCAGGCATGAACCAAAAGCCCCTATGATGAGAGACAAAAGCTGCATCCTATTGGTCATCTCAATCCTTACAATCATGACAGCAGCCACAAGTAAACAAAGACTTATAATCTAGTGCGTCCCCAAGTTTGGCACAGTTACCCAAGTCTTTAAAGAGCTTCAATAAATGCCAAGTAACCAATGAATTACAGTGCTGTACCTCACATCATTTACTCCCAAACTCACATAGTTCTTCTTCAATCCCCAAAAGGATGTGTTCCATAATACAGTATAAGTAAAGCTCATAGGTTTTCATACTCCTAAACATACAAAATTTCTTAATATTAGTCATTAATTACAGAAGACAGTAGAAAAAAATTATGTCCACTGCCAAAATGTGATGTGGTCGTTATGTCTCTTAATTCTTCATATTGGAGGAATAAATATGCACTGTTGATGATGACAAAAATGAGACATCAATGAATCTAGATGATGATAAACTAAAAGAGACCAAGACACACCCTCACCTTGCAGTGTGGTAATACTTTTGTGGACGCTCATAAGGTGAGGCATGACCTGCTCTAGAGATCCTTGCCATTTACAAGAAGCACCGGGGCACGGACACAAGTACGGACGGAACTCGCAGGTGTCTTCATGTTCCGTCTTGTCTGTGTGGAGGAGGGTCGCAGAACACCCAGAGGAGGAGTATTTGCAAGGGAACATTACCGTGGTTGCAACTTTCTCCATTGCTAAGTTTCTTATGTTTCCTGAAAGAAATAATATCAACTTTCATCATCTTCATCGTCGTCAATGTTTTGGGGGATTATTTTCCGCGCTTGTGTGGGTTAGCGGCGATTACCCGATGGCAGCTCTCCGCACTGCAAGGTCTCTTGCAGCCTCTCCCGGCAGTAACCTCTACCCGTGTTATTCTTGGACTACCTCTGGCTATCCTCCCCTCCACATTTTTACTCATCTTAGTAAAACTTTAAATTTAAATTGTATCCTTAAAGGGGAAATACTTTTTTAAACTACATTATCAGCCATATCCTACTTTGCCGATGGATGACGAGGGATAAGAGCAAAGTACACCTCGATCAAATAATTTCAAGCACAAGTTGGCAGCAGAACATCTCATAAATTCACAATAATATCACAGACAAGGCAATAGACATAAACTGAAAGGTTGGGTGGCCTTAGAAACAATATATTGCTCCCTAGTTTGTGTAAAATTGAGGCAGGGATGGTTAGTGCACTTCCTGTACCACACCTTTCACCTTAGCACCACAGTTGTACCTGTTCCACACCTGTCAGCTTATTACCACAGTTGTACCTGTCCCACACCTTTCACCGTATTACCACAGCTGTACCTGTTCCACACCTGTCAGGTTATTACCACAGTTACTGCAAGTATTCTCAGGTGAATCATCCATCCCAGAACAAGATTTATCACCATTCAGTTTCATCAGTCCCCAACATGAGCCTTATGACGCCGACACAAACACAAATATTAACTAAAAGTAAACATCTAAATGAAGAGAATCATATCGTTTTGGTAATACAATTGAAACTACAGGTACAGAATTATTATCATAGTTACATCAGTAGATTGACTGTACCCATGATATATAATGAGACGGGATAAGACCACAATGTAAAGAACAATGCACCAAAACTGACTAGAACACCTTTCATTATTCTTGCATCACAGCAAATAATAATTCTGTAATAAAAATTCAATATCCTCACCTAAAGGCCCCCGGCATGTTGGACAGCATGTGAGCTTTGGGCGACAGTTGGCACAAACTAAATGTCCACTCTGGCACTGAAGGATCGGAGGCAACACATAATCAAAGCATACCGGGCACTCAAACAAGCTGGCTAGTTCTGTGTTGCCCCCAGGAGGAGCACCCGAGGGAGGTGACTGGGGGTGCACCGCCCTCCCACTTTTACTCGCAAATGCACTCATTGCCACAAGCTCAGTCTCTGGAAAAAAGAGGAAAAAGGGAATTAAATTTTTAAAAATCAGTGCACATAATTTATAGTACAGTACATATACACACAAGAGGTCCTGGGGTAAGGCCACACTTTCTATATAACAATAATAGGAGACTTATTATTGGGCAAGAGTTTAAAGTCTTAGCCAACGAACAATGCGTCGGGTGCGTCGGGAGCAGAGATTGGAATTTTCAGTACGAGAAATGGATGAACGGGTGGAGGAGTTGTGCCGACACTGTGATAGAGATTATTTTACGTCAATTGCCCGAGTTTCATCAGAAAAATGGTGAGGCAATTTATTTTTTTTAGAAATCACGATGAATTACCGAACAACATTATTTGTCCAAAGTGTAATAATCAGTGTACACCGCGTGAAAAGCAACACATTTTTTTTTTTACGGGGAATAGCCAAACCGGGCACAGGTCATCGACCCACAACGGGGCCTAGGGGCGAAACAATGAGAATAGAAAGAAATTAAAAAAAAAAAAAAGATTATATTAATCTACACCGCGAAGATGCCGGAAACCAGCTTTTTGAAGCGAGACAGATGTATGAGTACGGAAACACAGTTTGGCTGTGTGAGGAAGGAAGGATGTACCATAAAGGGTTATTCTAGCGTGACCGACAGCCAGAGCAACAGTAAGAAACGGAGAGGTGCAACCCTAGTTAGGTCAGGTTCTATTAGGTTCTATACATCGTTGTTTCCATAGTGTTTAACATCATATTAATGTGTAGGAAAAATAATTCAACCAATTCCTTCTGGTGGTCACCCTCTTCACCAGACCAAACCACTAACCAATAAATCCTCCACCTGAATCTCTCAAACAATCTGAAAATACAAGATATATTAAAATACGAGCCATATATATGTATAGGTTAATAAGAGTTAAATACTTTAGTTAAAATATGAAAAATGATAAGTCGTAAAATATAAAGGGAGTCTTCTTCAATGCCATTATTTACCCCTAACTCACTCTTCTCCCTGGTTTTAACATTGAAATTCATTGTAAAATAGTCTTATAGGTGTGACAGAGGTGAGATGAGATGAAATATGTGGTGTATTACCTCATTAGTGTGTTTGTTTTGGTAGCTGGATGAGGATGAGTCACCAAGGGTCGGCCATCACACAATAAACCATGTTGAAAAATGATCCACGAACACGTCTATTAATCTATATATTAATAAAGAATACAAAATTTACTAAATTTAATTAAGAATAATTATAAATACTTAAGAATTATTATTTATTATATATTTCAGTTATAATAATGGTTTTAAACTAAAATAATTGGTAAGTTATGTTGTTCGTGTTATATATTGGAACATTATATGTCTTGCGGTCGGCCATCACACAATAAACGATGTTAAAAAATAGTTTACGAACGCATCTATTAATCTATATATTAATGAAGAATACAATATTTACTAAATTTAATTAAAAATAATTATAAATACTTAAGAATTATTATTTATTATATATTTCAGTTATAATAATGGTTTTAAACTAAAATAATTGGTAAGTTATGTTGTTCGTGTTATTTATTGGAACATTATGTGTCTTGTGGTCGGCCATCACCCTTCCCTCCATTGATCACCACCAAGCCATTTAACCCGCCATATTTAAATACCCTATACACTATTCTATCAACAAACTCACTTTTACCTACAATTGCTAATAATCAGATTACTTAAATGAAAATATTAATGACAATTGTATATTTATATGCAAGAGATTAATTATTTTATTGTGTTTTTACTGAAATATAAAGAAAAATATCTGAACACTGCTTAAGTTAACAAGAAAAAAATGAATAATTTAAGCTTGTATTTATAATTTGAGTCTATATAAGACCCAGGGAGAAACGTATATAACATACCGGCAATTACTTCCTAACGTAGCATCACCAAACCTAACTTCCCTAGATGGCAATTTAAATCATTAAAGCATCTTAATAAAAATAAATAAAATGCTTTGAATGTGTAAAAAACTGACTTTCAGAAAATGTATTTTAGTACAGGCAGTCCTGGGTTATGTTCCTGAAGCCTAGCTGGTTTAAGGTAACTACTCAGGTGAGTGTCCTTACTTGGAGCTGGCGGACGCTCGCCCCACAAGGGGTCACAGCTCAAGATTGAAGAAGCCGCAAGTCCAGAAAACTGTGAGGGCAAACTTTTTCGGAGTGAGAGTTGTGAACTCTTGGAACAATCTACCAGAGAGTGTTGTGACGGCACCGAGTGTGAGCTCTTTCAAGACCAGACTTGACCAACACTGGAGCAGGTTCAGGTACATTCAGGAGCCGGTGCATGCCCAGTACTTGCCAACAGTGTGTGACAGAGACGTGACCGGTCGCCCAAGAGGCTAACGAGCCGATCAGTGGCGAAGAAGATAAAAGTAAGGTCAGACAAGGAGTAAGACAAGGATGTGTGCTCTCTATAGCACTGTGTATTGTTTAGTGAGAAGCTTTGATGAAAGAAGGTATAATATGTAGTGAAGGAATTGAAGTGAATAGTAAAGCAACATCAAATATTCGATATGCAGGTGATACAGCCCTTAGTACAGGCCTTAGTGGAGAAACACTAAACAAACTGGTAAACAGATTAAAGGAAAAGGGGTGGAGTTAATGCTTTAAAGACTGAAGTAATGGTGAATTGTACATCAGATATTCTACAATGTCCTTTCTGAATATTTGATAATGAAGCCACATCCAGCATGCTAGCTAATTCTATGGCTTCTCGCAATAGGCCCCAGCAATTCATTTAGTGGTCGACTCCATGCGTCACCTACACTGGCCTCTGCACCACCTCCTCACACACCACTCAGTTCTCTTGTTGATGTATTTACGTTGCTGTCCTTAAAACTTTAGTTGCATTTTGATATATTACTTCGTGTTTATTTCCAGGATACCATTTATATTCTACCTCCTGATTGTTTCCCAGTGCGTGTTCGTGTGTGTTTGTACCTCCAACGTTGCCACATAACATACTCTAGGTTGGGAGTGATGGCACCGAAGATTTCTGTATGTTTGGTGAGAATAGTATAGTTATAGCTAGTCGGTATTCGTTTTCTATGCTAAGAATCTCAAGGGGAAACTTAAATATAAAGCTGACTGATCAACTTGACCCAATATTATTTTGAATTGAAACAGGATTTTGGATTAGGATTAGGGATAATTTAATCTACATCCAATGAATTAAAGTCCGTAGTGACACACACACACACACACACAAGAAGAGTGTGTACAGCTTGGTCCACGGACAGAGAGACGCACGGAAGGGTAACATACACACACACGTACTGACGAAACACGAACGATTGGACTGAAAGACAAGTACACACAAGTAAGGACAGACACACATACATGGAGGCGAAGACAACATACGCGCACAAAAACACAAAAACACGAACGCATTGGAAGAAAGTCACAGAAAAGGGCGTAAACACGAACGTACTGACGGACTAATACAAGCAAGGACTAACAAATATCCTACCACCATTTAACCTTAAGAGTACGATGACTTAATCCCCTGAATTCGATGACTTAACCCTTTGAGTACGATGATTTAACCCTCTGAGTACAAAATCATCATACTCAAGGGAATACATCATCATTTTAAAACAGTTAAATCATTGTACTCAAAGGGTTAAGTCACAGTACTCAAAGGCTTGAATCATTGTACTCAAAGGCTTAAATCACTTACTGTAGTAGTGTGTTGCAATATGATGTGTTGCTATGGTGTTGTGTTGTAGTGTGGTGTTGTGGTGTGGTGTTGTGGTGTGGTGTGGTGTTGTGGTGTGGTGTTGTGGTGTTGTAGTGTTGTGCTGTACTGTGCTGTTGTGGTGTGCTGTTGTGGTGTGTTGTAGTGTGGTGTTGTGGTGTTGTAGTGTGGTGCTGTACTGTGCTGTTGTGGTGTGCTGTTGTGGTGGTGTGTTGTGTTGTAGTGTGGTGTTGTGGTGTTGTAGTGTGGTGGTGTGGTGTTGTGGTGCTGCAATATGGTAGTGTGGTGGTGGTGTTGTGGTGTTGTAGTATAGTGGTGGTGGTGGTATTGTGGTGTTGTAGTATAGTGGTGGTGGTGTTATTGTGGTGTGATGGATAGTGAATTACTGTGGATTTCAATCGATTTCGTGATTGTGACAATGAGTGTGTGATTGTAGCACTGAATACGTTTAGTTGAAACAGTGAGTGTGTGTGTGACTTCTGAGTTAAGTGCGTGGTTGTGGCGTCGAGAGCGTGATTGTGACATTGAATACGACGAGGTTAAGGCAGTGCGCGCGAGATGTGGCACAAGCGGCAACTTTGGGCATAGTGTGTGGGCGTGTGAGTGGGGGGAGCAAACGGGTGACTCTGGGTTGAGGCAGACCAGGCAGTCAGTATTGGCCTGATGTTGGTGGTGGCGGGCTGGAAGGAGGGAGGACAGCTGGAGTCCGTGTTTACAAGTTGGTGAGAGGCGGACCGTCCCAAGCCCGTAGTCATAATACACCTCGATACTGTCTGTGTGTCTATGCGCTCCTGGTGATGCCCTCCTACGAACATTTGATGCACGTCCATGATTCTATGCCTTTCTTATTGCGAATAAAGTTGAAAAGTTATTTACTGATTTAGGGATGGAAATATATGATACTCCAGTGGTTATGCAATGTTTTGGTGATAAAATGAAAATTGAACGGCATTGAGAAAGGGTTTGATATGGCTCTCCAGTCACTATTATGGATTACTGAGTTTTTCTCGTAAAATTTTCAAGGGACATTGTGTGCCCAGAATTTCAGTGAGTCACCCCCCCCCCCTCCCTCTTTCAAACGTGGAGAGGTGTGAGGAAGGTTAGGGACAAGGCATAACACGGTCTAGTTTAAGGAATAGTGTTGAAGTGTTGTTCATGATGATGCCTGAAGATCTTCCTGGTAGCTCCGGCACGAGCTTCACCCTCTCGCCTGGCCAGTGGAGCGCCGCCCCCGACACTGGCATTGTGAAGCTGACTGAAGGGGCGCTGGCTAGGCTTATCAACACCGACCCTATTGACAAGTGGTACCTTCTGGACCCCGAACCCATAGCCAGGTACGTACCCCAGTGTGTGTGTGTGTGTGTGTGTGTGTGTAGAATACAGCCTCCGTCTACCCAACAGTAATTGGGAACCTGGAAGTTAACCGATTTGCGGATCATGTTCCTGGGTAATGATTAACCAGTGCAGTTGGCGAGTTGTCCGGTCTTCTTGAATCCTTCCTTGACACTAGGTTATACGCCTCGTTAACTCAGGGTGTGGTTACTGTATTGACGACAGCTTCTTCACCTTAAACAAACTCACGCTTTAGATGGTTCTAGGGCCGACCATCCTTGAACATAAGGGACATAAAACCCGCCATGTTTCACTATAAAACGTTGCTATGTATCAACAACAAAACAATATCGCATCAGATGAGAGAAAAACAAAAGATAACGTAATGTAAACACACCCTGTGTCAACGCGGTGAACAAGGCCACAGCAACAGTGACACGACAGTCCTGGTGTTTTCTGAGAGAACGATTGTGAAAAACTGCTATTGAAACCCTCGAAAGCCCCAAAGATGAAACCTAACTATTGTAAACACCAAGAAGTATCAGGAAATTAAGGAATGTTTTCATTATAACGTGATTTCATAAAGTTTCAATTATATTTCCAAGATTCACTTATACTCGTAAAAGGTTTAATTATATTTAGTGAAGGATTCAAATGATTTGTGGTTTCTAAATAAATTGAGGTGTGTTTTCTAGACGCAATGATCTACGATTTCTAAAATATAATCTTTCGTTTTCTTAATCAAATCTAAGTTTACGTTTTCTAATTCAAATAAGAAGGGTTCTAAATTGAATGGTAAGTTCTTTAAGAATCTATTACGTTTCTTTCGATATAAAATATTTTCTAAATTTACCAGAACTTTTCTAAATAAAGTTGACATGCTTGCTTAATCGTAGGAGAGGTTTTATAAATATAATGGAAGGTTTCTAAATAAACAGCGGGGTTTCTAAATAAAAAGCGGGGTTTCTAAATATAATCGGAGGTATTCTAAATGTAATGGTAAGTTTCTAAAAGTAATGGTAAGTTTCTAAAAGTAATGGTAAGTTTCTTTGTTGGACTCGTTAAGTAGCTTGTAGATAAAATGTTCTTATTGTTTGCAAACTCTGAGTTGGTGAAGGTATTAAGGGCCTCCATTAACACAACACCCAGGCGATCAGCGCGAGGCAACAGTGGAGGATGGTGGGAGACGGACACCTTACCTTACCTTACCTTACCTTACCTTACCTTACCTTACCTTACCTCCACACACGTTTATACTTCACCAGCCATCAAACCAGCAGCGAGAGAGAGAGAGAGAGAGAGAGAGAGAGAGAGAGAGAGACCCCTTGAGAACCTTGGTCACTGTCTCGTGTGTGTGTGTGTGTGTGTGTGTAGCTCCAGCGAGGTCTATAGTGTGTTCAGGGGGACGTGATTCATAGTTTAGATTTTGTGCTGATATTGTTGAGAGTTTTGTCGAGGCCGTGGTTTATGATGATGGAGGAGGAGGAGGAGGAGGAGGAAGAGGAAAGGTGGAAGAAGAAGAAGAATAAGAGGAGTGTGTGTGTGTGTGTGTGTGTGTGTGTGTGTGTGTGTTTACAAGGCCACAGGTCCGCCCCAGTACAAAGGTTAACCTGGAAAAAGTCAAGATACCTGACCTAAGGTGCGAGATAAAGCTCTAGTTTACTGATGAGAGAAGACAGTAGTTGTGGTCGTGTTGCTGTGATAAAACTTCACTTGAGAGCCTTGAGGGACTGTCTACTGTATCCTCTTACTTAGACACAGGAAACCGGGCCAACTCTTCTCGTCTCGGTGAAGTATATACGACAGCAATAATTCATCTCTATATTATACTTTATAAAACGTCTATGTACCTTTGTCTCCTCAGTGGTTAGGTTAGGGTAGGGTAGGGTAGGGTAGGGTAGGGTAGGGTAGGGTAGGGTAGGGTAGGGTAGGGTAGGGTAGGTTAGGTTAGGTTAGGGTAGGGTAGGTTAGGTTAGGGTAGGTTAGGGTAGGGTAGGTAGGGGTTAGGTTAGGGTAGGTTAGGTTAGGTTAGGGTAGGTTAGGGTAGGGTAGGGTAGGGTAGGGTAGGTTAGGTTAGGGTAGGTTAAGTTAGGTACAATGTGTGTTAGCGAGTATATCACACTTTAACGGTACAGGAGTGTTTTCTGGTAGTGTTCCAGTGTTGTGAGTTGACGCACACACATATTACCATAACCTGTTGAACCGGTTAATGGGAGACACAGAGACATGTTTGAGACTAGATACTTGCCTGGGTCTCTCTGTGAGATAAATACAAGGGTCCTGAATGTCTGTCAGGGGTCCTGAATGTCTCTCAAGGGTCCTGGATGTCTCTCAAGGGTCCTGATTGTCTCTCAAGGGTCCTGGATGTCTCTCAAAGGGCCTGGATGTCTCTCAAGGGACCTGGATGTCTCTCAAGGGGCCTAGATGTCTCTCAAGGGCCCTGGATGTCTCTCAAGGGCCCTAGATGTCTCTCAAGGGTCCTGAATGTCTCTCAGGGGGCCTGGATGTCTCTCAGGGGTCAGGAATGTCTCTCACCACTATCTCAAGCAGAACAAGGCCAGGCTGACTTGGGACACACCTCATGTTAAAATCCCTTATCTTATTGCGTTCGTGATGCTGATGTGCACCTACTACGGACAGTACATGTAGGTAAGGAAATAATGATGTGTACATGTTTATTGATACACACACACACCTGGGGTACATAACTACACCTTACACACACACACACACACACACACACACACACACACACATCACAGTAAAACAAAATACAGAATTAAATGCAGTAAATCACATGAGTGTTATTATCATGATATAAATACGAGAGTTAATGAACTAAAGTTGAGGGTAGGTTAGGTTAGGTTAAGTTAGGTTAGGTTACCTTACCTTACGTTAGGTTAGGTTAGGTGTGTGTGTTAAGTGAGTCAGAACGAAGACTTTTAAGTAATGTTAAATGTATACAGTGTAGGCGGTCGCGGGCGTGGGCGAACCTGAATAGTGGACGGTGGGCGGCCCTCGTGTAGAGAGAGAGAGAGAGAGAGAGAGAGAGAGAGAGAGAGAGAGAGAGGAGAGAGAGAGGCACGGTAAGTATAAAAGAAGGAACTGTTGGCGGGCGTACTCTGGTAGTGTGGGCGGGTAGGATGATGGTGGTGGTGATGATGCAGGATGGTGATGATGGTGGTGGTGGTGATGGTGATAGATGGTGATGGTGGTGGTGATGGTGGTGGTGATGATGGTGGTGATGGTGGTGGTGATGGTGGTGATGATGGTGATGATGGTGATGATGGTGGTGGTGATGATGGTGGTGGTGATGATGGTGGTGATGTTGGTGATGATGTTGGGCTTCTTTTTCTTCTTCTTCTTCTTCTTCTTCTTCTTCTTATTGCTACTTTTGTTGTTATTGTTGTCTTCCACCTCCACTACCCTCCTCCTCCTCCTCTACCATTCAACAACAACAACAACAACAACAACAACCCCCCCCCTTTACTTCAGCAACTCTCCCATAACACACACACACACACACACACACACACACACACACTGGATATGAGATGAATTACTATGATAATTACTGAAATAACATTAATGAAGCCTTTACTTTACCTTTCCCTAGGAGAGGTCAGAGGTCAAAGGTCAGAGAGCGAGAGAGAGAGAGAGAGAGGGGTTAGGTTAGGTTAAGTACCGTATACCAGCCCACGGCCTCTACTACTGACGAGGTATTTCCTGCTGCCGTGGTTATAGGTAGGTGTAGGTGGGTGGTTAGTCATATATGGTGATGTACCGTGAGGTGTTGGTCAGGTATATGGTGATGTATAGTGAGGTGTTGGTCAGGTATATGGTGATGTATAGTGAGGTCATCTGTGTGACCGAGGGAGACACCATACCACACCACACCACAGTACTACAGTGTCAACCTTAGGTAGAACAGGTTAAGTGAAGGTGTCTTAAATAAACGAGAGGTGTGTGTGTGTGTGTGTGTGTGTGTGTGTGTGTGTGTGTGTGTGTGTCTCAGGGGCAGGGAGGTGGGGGGTAGTCAAAGAGGGTGGGCGGAGGTCCTACACCGCCTTCAGGAGAGATGCGTCGTGTGAGCACCTGTGTAACCCTTACTGATGGTTAATGTGTGGCTTAACCTAACCTAACCTTGTGAGGTCTAGTGGGGGCAGGTGGGGGCTGGTGAGAGTAGGCAAGGACAGGTAAGGGCAGGTAAGGGCAGGTAGGGGCAGGTAAGGGCAGGTAGGGGCAGGTAAGGGCTGTGTGAAAGTGCAGTAAATATGTAAGCCAACAGTGACAAGTTGTTATCAGTCAGTAGTCCCACAGGTCAAATGATACACACGTGACCTCTCTTGACCCCTCCAGTCAGCCCAGATCAGAATAGAGACAGGTTGTTTATGTTCAATTCTGGGTTATATACGTGTTGTGAGTACCTGTATAACTCATGAACAGGTGTTATAGAAAACCCACATATAGTTATGATAATCACAACACCTGCGTCATTATTTACATCAAAAATAATACAAACTTATAACTTTTTTCGTGTTAAGTTCAGGTGTTGTAGTTTAAGTGATGATGGTGAGGTTGTAGCCACACAGGTGAGGTTGTAGCCACACAGGTGAGGTTGTAGCCACACAGGTGAGGTTGTAGCCCACACAGGTGAGGTTGTAGCCACACAGGTGAGTAAGCCAGCCCACATTAGGTGAGGTTGTAGCCCACAGGTGAGGTTGTAGCCACACAGGTGAGGCTTGCAGCCCACACAGGTGAGGTTGTAGCCACAGGTGAGGTTAGCCACACAGGTGAGGCTTGGGTAGCCCACACAGGTGAGGTTGTAGCCACACAGGTGAGGTTGTAGCCACACAGGTGAGGTTGTAGCCACACAGGTGAGGTTGTTGGTAACTCTTATTCCTACGGAGAGAGGGAGGTGGTGTGGTGGTGTGGTGAAGAGAGAGAAAGAGACGTGACTTCACTCTCACTTCACCCTCACTTCACTCTCACTTCACCCTCA